CCCCAAAACCCCAAAACCCCAAAACCCCAAAACCCCAGGAGCTAATTTGTTGTTGAATAATTGATTTGTAGATTAAAACATGATTATTCTTCAAAATTGCTGTTCTCATTCCGAAATTATTCCAATTGGTTTGATCTTAGTTGTGATATGGTGATAGACAAAAAATCTGCTCGAGGCATTCTAAAACTTCAAGATATTCATTGTTGTGAGCTGTTTGAGGTGTCTGATAAGCTCCTCCATAATTCAAATTTGAAAAATAAGATGGATTAGTAATGACAGATTCATCCTTATTTTTTAGTATCTTCCTCTCTTTATTGTTGACTGGGAGTTCAGGTTTGCTCAAGCTAGCAGGTATGTCTGGATTTGCTTGATTTAAAGGCATCATGAAAATCATGCATGGGTCTTGAGGAAGGAACATACTAACACCTCTACTGACTTGTTTGCACTTAAATGGTACAGAGGACTGCATTTTATCTACTTGTATTAATACTTTTCCTTGATTGAGTCCCATTATACTGCATCCCTTTTTGGCTTTAAGCTGAGTTGCCACTTTTTCTCCAGAAAGTCCCTGCCTCGAGGATGTGGATTCTTGTTTCATATCCTTTCCCGAGTGAGGATCAGAGTTAGGTGCAGATTCAGTTATACATTCAGATGATCTTGCAGTCTTTACTAAACTTATTGAGGAGCTTGCTCTGTAGTTCTTCTGAGAACTCTTTTCCATACTCACAAGTGAAGAAATGGAATCTTTCAGACTTTTATCGGCATATTTCAGGTCCCTCTTCTTCATGCTCATGGGTAGATACTTGCTATCTGAATCTGAGTTACAGAGCATTAAAGACTTCTCATCTAATTGGCTTCTATCAGGAAGCTCAAATTGGTAAAGTGGAGTGGCATCTCACATATTCTTGAGCACAAACTCCATGGGATTATTTGTCTTGTAATCCTTCTTTATTTGGTCAAAATATTTTTGAGAATGAGACTTAATCTGAGTACTTGTTCTTGTTGGAATCTATAGGTCATAAATTCTCTGTGGATAAAGGTAGATTATAGCAGAATTTAACTATATAATAAGTATGCTAATTCTCTCAACAATTTCTCCAACCTGAAGCACTTCAAAATGAATTGTTCGAAGTCAAATTAGGAGCCCAAATTTCTCTGCGAGACAGAATTTCTCAGGGAAAGTTTATTTCACTTAAACAGCTTTTGGTGACTAGTGTGACTTTCGTTTTAGAAACTCTCATATTGGCTTATGAGCAGATATTGAAAGGACTATCCATTCACATTATATAAAGCAATCATTTTACCATTTCTTGAAGGATTTGTGGATTATTTCCATATCTTTTCAGGCCTAAATGATTACTCGAGGATTGTACAATTGACGAATGCTTGGTGCTCCTCAAATGACCATCTTCCTTTGTTCTTTCTAACTCTTGAAAGCTGATAAGTCTATTAGAAATCAAATTTCGAATCAAAATGCTTTGTAACTAGTGAAGAAAGGGTGTATCAAAGTCTTCAAAGTGCTTACTCCTTCTTTTGAAGGATAAATGTTTCCTCCAGAATAGTTTTGTTTATGCTCCTTTTGTTTCTCCATCTATATAGAATTATGAGAGGAATTCATATCTAACTTCGTATTAGCCATGTTTAGTATTTTGAAATCCAAGATGACAAACTTCTCTGATGAAGAAATTGCACAGATAATATAAATAAAGGAGAGTAAATGCTTGAAAAAGTCAAGCAAAAGCACTTCTTTAAGAGAATTGACAATCCCATATGTGATATTCTGAGTTCATAGAGCATCATAAGCTTCTTACACCCTGTAGGATTTCTCTAAAAATAGAGAATTTATGATATTTTATGATTAAGATTAAAATATTTAGTAACAAACCATCAAAGATGGAGGGTATTTTCTAAGAATTTATTAGACTGGGATAGGCATCACTTGAAAGACCGTAAATACGCATCAAATAAATTGTCTGAATTTAGAGCCTTAAACCGTGCTTGATTAATCATTACCTTCATAAAATAGTGAGATGGTGGTAATTAGATAAAAGTTCATACAAAGTTGACCAAAATTCATTGTGCTAGTAAAATTTTAGACTTTGGGATAGCACCAACTCTCTTGTTAGCTTATCTCATATATAAACTTCAAAGAGGTTTAGGGATTGGTAATATTTTTATCAAAAATACATGTTGGTGAACAGTGTAAGGCCTTATGGTAAGCATAAAAATCCTAAAATTCTTAACCCCGGAGAGTCTAGTAAGCAAAAATTATTATTTCTGTGCTGAATATAACCATCAATTCAGCAAAATTTTAACCATTTTAGTATAGATTTTAAAATTTCAAATAAAAATGAGTTGACTGCCTTCTTCCTGCATAAACCTTCAATTTAAAAATCAGCCAATTAATAGAAGAAAATGTGATTATTTAAAAGATCTTCGTCCCATTTATTTGTGACCATCCAGAACGCAACTTACCCAAAGATGGCAAAGATACCAACAGATTTAGGTGATAAAATTTTAGGCTATTACTAAAATTTTGTACAATAATCCAGGTGAAATTTATAAAAAGTGCAGATTTGGTTGAAAAGTAGTAGGTTAAAGTATCTGAAACCTCCCCAATAAGCCTTAATGTGGGTCATGGCCCTTAGTAAGAGCTTCTTTTAGTATCTATAGATTCTAAATCATTGCCAAAAGTGGCAAATCCTGGGAGCATCCGATCAATTAAATATTTCGAATACTATTAAGAGCATTGAAAGCAACCTCATAGGCTAATTTTTAAGATTTTAAAGGAGATGAATAGGCGAAGAGATATCTAGTCTAATAATTTTTTTATCTCAAACATAATCAATGAGGCTTTGTCCTACCTCTCTACTTGAAGAAATTAAAGAAATAGGATAATTTATAAACTTAAGAAAGTATTCAATTTCTCAAGGATTTTTACTATCTACCTGTAAAAGTACTCAAATGGGCTCTCTAATAAGACAAGAATGAACTGAGTGGAGACAGGAGAGTCATAACACTTATTTGATGCTAAACTTACTGAAGCAGGATATCATGTTTATAGAATACTAAATAAAAAAACAGGTTCTTCTAATAGATTAATAGCCATGACTAACAATGCCTCGCAGAATTAGGAAGTCATGCACACATCTATCTTGTGGGCTAGCTCGAACAAGAGTTGTAACTAGGATTTTACCTCCTTGAGGTCTTAAGTCTAGCATTTAGAAAATCAACAGTCTCTTTTAATAAAAATTTGTGATAACTAAAAGTGCTTCTAATTTAGAGTCAGCAAAAATATTAAAAAGGAATACTTCTGGGTTAGATGATTTCTCAAAAGCTTGAAAAAACTTGGGAAAATGATTAAAAACATTGTGAGAATATCGTATCACAAACCAAATATTCCCTTTCAAAACAATCCGGCAATTCCTTCTTTTCCTGACCATATTCTTCAACCCTGAACTAGTATGGTGCAGTAATTAGCCATGTTTGAGAACTTACCATAAAATATTTATGTATCAAAAGTTATACCTCCTGCTGGGGTTTTGGGGTTTTGGGGTTTTGGGGTTTTGGGG